CTCTCTCTCTCTCTCTCTCTCTCTCTCTCTCTGTCATACCTGGGATTGAACTCAGGCCCTTGTGCTTATCAGGCAAGCACTTATTCTCCTGAGCTATCTCCCTGGCCTGAGTATCCTTTTAGAGTTATGAAAATCTCATGCAATTAGATAGTTGTGATTGCTGCATAACCTGGAGCATATGTCAAAGCTGCCAAATTATGTTATTTCAGATGGTAGGTGACTTAGGTCTCAATTTTCAAAAAAGATAATGGAGTAGAGCTTTCAAAATTATTTTCTCCATCAAAGTACAAATCAAGGGTAAGAATTGAATGAAACATTTCATAAATGAAGTGTCTCAAAAATTTATTATTCACATACTCTTTCTCAGAAAGCAATTACAAGAAGCATGCTACCTCAACACAAGGGAATAGAATAAGAATAAAGCAAGAGGACAGCAAGATAAATTCCTTCCATCGGAGGCCAGGGAAATGGCTCAGTGGAATAAGTGCTTCCCTGGCAAGCACAAAGGCCTGAGTCCAATCCTCTGTTCTGCAAAAAAAAGGATAAATTCTTTCCATAGTATAAAAGTGAATTTTAGAAAGGTGACTGAGTAGCAGTTATAAAGATGGAGGGAAATTTCAGATACGAAAAGTGCACACTGTGGAAGGAATGGCTTTGAGAAAAAAATTAAATTGAACTAAAATAATTACCTGAAAATTCATCTTTAGTCCCAGCACTCTACGAGGCTGAGGCAAGAACTGCAAGTTCCAGCCCAACCTGGCCAACTTGGCCACTTAACAATTGGAGATGTAACTCAGTATGTAGGCCCTGGTTCAACCCCCAGTACAAAAATGAAAACAAAAACAAAAGCAAAAGCAAACAAACCAAAACTCAAAAATTGGCCCTGTAGGAAATTATAGAAAGAGAAAAAAGGAAAGAGGTGGGAATTATCAAGAAGTACTAGAAATCTAAGATACTTCAAAGTGAGGCAGGGCTGGGGAGACAGCTCAGCAGACTAAGTGCCTGCCTGGCAACTACCTCAAGCTTGAACCCAGTATGTCAAGCCATGCCATGCTATGCTGGCCCCATGCTGTGCTGGCCACTGAAACCGGGCATGGTAGCACATGCCTGTAATCTTAGCACTGAGGAAGCTGAGACAGGAGGATTAGTATGAATCTAAGCTGTGTAGCAAGACTCTGTACCAAATAAGTAAACCTTCAAAGTGAGGCAATAGGGCTGGGGAGATGGCACAGTAGAATAAGCACTTCCCTGGCAAACGCAAGGACCTGAGTTCAATCCCTGGTTCAGCAAGAAAAAAAAAGGGGGCAATTATTTACCTTAACAAATGTGAAAAAAAAAAAGGTAAGAATGAAGATTGACATATACCACAGTGCTCAGCTGCAGATATTTGCATAGGCAAAATCATAAAATATATTTTAACTGTACCACAAATTATAATATAGTCTCAATGGGGGAGATGAGGTAAGACATGAATGTAACAGAAATAAATCTTCATCTAGAACAAGAGGAAATCAAATTAGTAAGGTTTAAAATTGGTGGCTCAAAAGACAGCCATATGGGTGTGAGTGAGACGACCTGGGGCCCGCGGATCCTGAATAGACCCAGAGCACAGGCCCGGCATGTGAGTGAGACCACCCAGGCCTGGAGATCCTGAATAGACCAGGAGGGCAGGCCTGGCATGGAACCCTTCAGCAGAATTCCCTGCAAAGAGGCTAGAGGCAAGACTCACCCAGCTGATTCAGGAGCAGAACATCTTGCCAGAGTGACACAAAGGGTTTAACTCCAACGGCTGCAGCAGAAAGAAGTGGAGCACAGCAGCCAGACCCCAGCCAGATCCAAGCAACACCCACCTGGAAGAATCTGAACTTCGTAGATCCAGACCTGGTGCTAAGGTAATAACTCTATCTAAGCTCTACACCAAAGGTCAGAAGACCGTGGTATACAAAATGACAAAGAGAAGGAACAAAATG